GCGTGGTGCTGAGTTGCTGGCTGGGGCTAAACCACAACAACTGTTGAAATTCAAGGAGAAATTTTTCAGTGAAATAGATCAAATGGTGGTCTGGTTCTTTCTGATCTCTGGGCCAGACCATTTCTTAGGAGAAGATGCACTGCTAATAGAAAGACTCGCTATTTCCTGTAGAACATCTTACACAGCAATCTTTTATCATATACCTGCATACCTCTATTACTGGCATGTGTGCATACCTTTTATTGAATTGCACCTGACTTACGCATGCAAAGCTGCCTCAGTGTCTTTTAGGTGGCAACAGAGTGTTCTCGGGCAGCACAGGAAAGCAAACCAAGCACGTCTCCTACAGCCTGGTAGAGGGTGGTCATGATCCTACAAGGAGCACAGTATATTATAATTTTCAGTCTTTCTGGAAGGTGCTACTGTGGCATTGTATAAAATCGTGGCTTTAAGAAGGTATTCAGGGAAAGTATTCACACGTTTGTTTATTTTACATTTGAGATTGCTTTATATGATTCTCAGGCACGGATGCTGAAGTTGGTGAGGCCCGTATTTCATCCCCAGTTTGCAAATTACTAAGTGCTTTGCCCCATATTCTTTTTCAAGAAAATTTGTGTTTCAGTCCTTCAAACAATGTTTTTCCTTTGTAGGAATCCAGTGTGAAATCGCTGCAAAAGCAGGGATGATTATACAGAGAGTAGTGCTGAATTCACGCCCCGGTATTTATTTCTCTCCAGTAAAGGAGCAATGTGTTTGTATGGTTGCCTAATGCTCCAAAATGGTGAGGGTAGAAACAGACACTAACTTAAGATATTGACATTTCTATATCTTAATATTGCATGCAGCAATAAATAAAGGTTATTGTGGTGTGTTTATTTAGTCTGTATACACAGATTTCTAAACTCTTGGGTGAGAAAAAAAGGGTTAATGCATAATATACGAGAAAATCCTAAGTGTAGGGACTGAAAGTGAGGAAAGATTAGCAAGCATTGCTTTTTTGTACTGACATTTGTTCTTTTTGCACTTTAAGAGATGATTAAAATATTTTGTTACTGTTCATTTTTGTTTCCTTTTAGTAAATAACAAATCTTTTCTTCCTCCCATGTTTCAAAGTGTTTGTTTTTTAAATTTACACTTTTGAGGATGTTTACTTCCTTGCTTACACATTTATAGAATCATAGGATCGTTTAGGTTGGAAAAGACCTTTAAGATCATCCAGTCCAACCATTAACCTACACTACCAAGTCTACTCTAAGCCAATCAAGGGTAGACTAGACTAAACCATGTCCCCAAGTGCCACATCTACCTGTTTTTTGAACACTTCCAGGGATGGTGACTCCACCACCTCTCTGGGCAGCCTGTTCCAATTCTTGACCACCCTTTCCGTAAAGAAATTTTTCCTAATTTCCAACCTAAACCTCCCCTGGCGCAGCTTAAGCCCATTTCCTCTCGTCCTATCACTAACTACTTTGCCTTGTTACGGATGTCAGCATAATTTTTTGAATAGTGAGTTAATAAATTGTCTGCTGTAGAAGACTCACATGTGTGCATTAAGTGGCTGCTCAATGCCAAAATAGTCCTAAGAGGTAAGAACTATTGTGTGACCTGCAAATAAGTCTTTTATAATGCAAATCAAATGTTAGAGCAGTAGCCTGCTGTAGCCACCCAATCACTCTGACTTAAAACATACACAGGTATCTGGCTCTCTCCTTTTGGTGCCAATGGTTCCATTTGTCAGTCTGATTGCTCTGCTGCATGTGGTACCAACCTGAGGATGAAGCCTCCAGTTCTGGGGCTCTTGGCATACGTTTTATAGGTGTTTCTGGGAAGCTTTAATTTAAGGAGGTCTGTCTGTAGCTGCGAAGGGATGCTCTTGCAGCATATGCATGTGCAGTGGCAATGGTCTGTATTCCCCCAGTCTCACTGAGTCAAGTGACTGAAAGGTGAGCGTTTAAAACTTACCTGGTTGAAATTTATGGTCATTTGTTACTGGCAAAATAGTGCACAATGGTTTTGTTATGTGAGAGAAGTCCCAATGCGTGTCTGTTCTGAAAGTTAGGGGCTTTTCAGCACATAGGGTATATAGAACCATTTTTTGAGAATGGGAACAGACCACCCCCCCCCCTTTTTTTTTTTTTTTTTTTTTTTTTTAGTTTGCCCTAATTGTTCATAAAAATTATGTGTAGCCAACAGCATGGAAACTGTGAGTCAGTGCAAATGCCTGATACTGGCCCAGGTAAGCATAAGCTGACAGAGCAGCAAGTCTTCAGTTTGGATGGTGACAGTGCACCCATTTAAATCATAGCCTGTGATACAAAATCTGAAAGTTGCTCAGTAGTTTTATACCTCCATAAAGATATAGGCTAACATTTTAAAAAGGACTATGTCAAAAAAAGGCCTTCCCATATTGATTAAGGGAAGCTCTATATTGATTCATTTATTTGTTTGATTTTAAAATAATTCTAGGTAAGAATGGAGAGCCAGTGGCTGAAAACTTCCGACTGGAACAAAGTACAATAGCAGATACGATCCAAGCAGGACAAGTGCGTGTTAGAACCCTTTATCTCTCTGTGGACCCTTACATGGTATGTGATGGACTGAGAGCTAAGCCAGAATTTGTTTTTAAAATATCTTCATCTCTGTACCTGTCATGATGTTTAACATGAAAGTTACCAATTATAGGACAAATGTATCTCTAGTATAACTTAGTAATTCTGTTCATTCTGATGGAGTTATACTGGGAAGGAATTTGGCATTGATGTGCCTGTGATATATATAGGAATATGACTTTATAGGACCAGGAAGAGACTGTGAGCCCTGGTATACTGTTACAGAATTGTTTGTATCAGCTTTTTCTGAACTTTGCCTTTTTTTTATATAAATTTTTTACCTTTTTTTTTTTTGCCACAGAAGGAAGTATTTTTCAATTAAGGGGAATGTGGGTAGAGGAGAAAGAATATTTCATGATGGAACAAGAGCGGGACATGACCAGGCCAAAAATTTCTAGACAAAACATGTAAATGATTCAAGTTAAATGTTATTTAGCTATTATCAGTTTTGTTTACAAATGGAAGTCAGATTTTCTCCTTATGTGGATGATGACAAGACAAAAACGTGTCAATACTTTGTAAACAATGGAAGCACAGAGAGGATTAGTGAATGAAGCCATAACCAGCACTTGCACCTAATTCTGCAAAACTGTAGAAGTCATGTGGTTGGGAAGGTTGTGGGTTGAAATAGAAGTGAAAGTAGGAGAACCAGACAGACCCAGTCTGCTAGTATGTAAAAGTTTGCTATAAAGAGAATTCTGATCATTTGTTCCCTGCATAGATCGAGATAGTAGAAAAGAAACAGTCTTAATTTCAGGAAAGTAGGTTTAGCTTGGGAATTAAGGAAAAGTTTAAGAATCCTGAAGTACTAACTCAAGCTACAGGGGGAGATATAAAGGTGCAAGACTTCAGATTTCAAGATGTTTCATTAAACAGATCTCTGTCAGGGATGGTCTAAATATATTTGACTGTTCTTCAGTGCATAGGCATGGACTAAATGACTTGCAGGTGTTTTTTTCAATCCTACATTTCCATGAATCATTCAGTTAAGGAATGGCATTTATAGGATTCTCGTCAGATCCAAGCCAGTTGTGTTTGGTTGTATGGCTGACTTTGAGGCAGCATCTACAGAAGGTGTTGGTTTTGGTAACGCTACTGGAGGAGATCTGAATGGTCCTTTTGTACTGAGCAAATGTGAAAGAGTGATCTAAGAAAATATGATGAATATTTGGGGCTTATTGAGAGATTTTTGAGTAGGCCTTTGTGGTTGAAGTTTTAAACATATCTCATCCTCAACTCATAAACAAACCATGTGTTCCACCAGAGCCTTTCATTAAAGCCTTGTCTTTCAGCGCTGCCGAATGAATGAGGATACAGGCTCAGATTACCTCCTGCCCTGGCAGCTGTCTGAAGTTGCTGATGGTGGGGGCATTGGGGTTGTGGAGGAGAGCAAGCATGATAACCTTGCTAAAGGAGACTTTGTAACATCCTTCAACTGGCCCTGGCAGACAGTGGCCATTCTAGATGGAAGCTTGCTACAAAAGGTAATGTAAATGCAAAGCCCAGATTGTCACTATTTTATTTTCCGAAATGTTTGGTTTTGGTTTGTTTTTTTTAAAATAGTGGCTAATGATACTATTTCTTACTCAAAACCAAGCCAATGTTACTGAAGCAACCAGTTCTCAAAAGGCACATCAGCTCACAGGTGGCAAAATCTGTATCAATTTCTCTCTTTTCTTAATAAAGAAAAATGTGAATGCTTTTCTTGGTCAGAGATGTGCCAGTATTATTTCAGTTGTTGGATTTTTCATAAATTTCTCTGAAACTGCTTCTGTTAATTAATTCTGCTAATTATCCTAATTCTAGTTAGAACTCCTGATCCATGAGAATGTAGTCATAAGACTTAAAAGTCTTTAGATGCATTTAATTCAATTTATTCCTCTAACATGTCGTAGCAAAAGCTTGTACTTGAGATTTTACATCCACAGAAGAAAGGGTATTCTACATTAAGTTGAATGTGGAGAGGTAACAGTCCATTAGGTATATTGTGTTCATCATCGTCATGTAACATGGAAAATTATTGTCTTTTAAGAATGTACAATTTCCAATAAGCTTCTTCCTTTAGGACCCTTTGCCACTGATCTGCAGTTGCAATATTTGATAAAACGGTGCTATTTTATCCTTTATGCTAACATAAGGATAGTTCACCAGTGCTGGAAACTTCTTATCTCCCAACTGCTTTTTGACACTTCCATAATTAAAGTTCTTGCAAGTGACTTTATTTAAAAACTTCTTCTAAAACTGTGGAAATATAATCTTTGTTTCATTTTCTATAAACTTCTATAAACTGTTATTAAGGTAGACGTAGTTTATAGCTATCTTGTCCGTACCAGTTGTACCTTGCCTGGTAAATATCCTAAGTTAGTCTTCTATCCTCAGACATCAAATAGCAAACAGCAAAACCTCATCCTAAAAAGACATGAACACTACCACATGTTTCTGTTTTGTAGCTTGTTCCACAACTGGTAAATGGACGCCTTTCCTACTTTCTCGGTGCAGCTGGCATCACGGGACTGACGGCCCTGTTAGGTATAAAGGAGAAAGGACATGTGACTGTGGGTGCAAATCAGACAATGGTGGTGAGCGGAGCAGCCGGTGCCTGCGGCTCTTTGGCCGGCCAGGTAGGTAGGCTTAAGACATACAAGCATGCTCTGTTACCAAGTTTATCTTCTGAAACATGCTGGTTAGTAAATGTACAGATAAAATCATTGTAAACGTGAGCAGCTATAACTATGGGGAAGGGCCAGTTTCGCAGATTTGGCTCACACTTTCACTGAGAAAGATTTTAGGTGTGAAACTTAAGTTTCATGAAACTGGGATAGGAGAAAACAGCCCAAGGTGATTACTTGTCACTAGCATAAATAAAGTAGTTGATATAAATACATGTATTTCTGGTATAATTACATGTATTTCCTATATATTTATATAGTAGTCTGCGATTTGAACACATTCTTTGAGTTGACTGGTGACTTTCATTTTTTTCTATATTAGAAAATAGTCAGTAAAAATGTAGTAAACCCTTCATGTTGTGTTCCATGGCATTCTTTGTGTTTTGAGATTTACAGCCCTTTTATCCTCTTCAGGTTTGCAGAACATGTTGCAGTGTGTTTGTGTGTGTGTGTATGTGCATATTGTTCCCCAGGGCTCAGTTTTGGGGCCAGTCTTGTCTAATATCTTTATCAATGATCTGGATGAGGG